TAGGTTTGTTACTAGGGCTTGACTCTTCCTTGTCTTCTTGGCCAATACAGTATGTGTTCTCCTAGGCCAGCTGGTAAACACAACATAACTCTCCCTCTACAACCTCTGTGGCTGCAAAGTTGTGTCAAATTTCTCATGATAAATAGGCAAAAAAACCTTTATGGATGTATGGATATTAGGGATGCACCGATACCACTTTTTTAAGGCCGAGTACGAGTACAGGGAGAAGAGCTCAGAATGAAGCAGATGACAGAGGAGGTCGCGGCCATCTTGCTTGATTGAAGACGCGATGGAGGTCCTGTGTGCGGCGGATCTGGGTCCCTGAAGATGGCGGACGCGGCACAGGTACTCGTTTTATGTTTTGGAGTATTTGCACGAGTACGAGTACTCATGCAAATACTCGGTATCGCGGCCGATACCGATGCTTGTATCGGTATCGGTGCATCCCTAATGGATATACATAAGTGTGGAAAGTGCATTTGTTTTAAGTAAGGTTATTAAAATACTGTAAATATAAACAATTTATTTCAGCTGTGAACCAGGTACATTTAGCATGTTTTATATCATTTGCAATTAGTTTATAACATGCAAGGAGAACATTTACCTGCACGGAATAAAGTCAGTTGTCACATAATCAAGTGATTCACTGATCTTGTTTTCAAGAGACAGTCAACCCCAAAATCAATGTTTGCCGAGGTGAGTATAGCTTAGCAAGCATTCAGTTACTAGAAAAATATAGAAAGAAACCCTATAGGTTATCTTGGCACTCGTACCACAGGCCTTCTACTGACCATTGCGTAGGGTATTTTCTCATCAAACAAGTTGTTTTTGTCTTCATCACTATTCCCTCTTAACATTTTGATCTTGTGTCATGTACAGTAAGCAGGGAGGCAAGGTAAAACATTTAAAAAGTTAATGTAAGGAGGAAGTACTTAGCTTAGTAAATGAGGTGAAAATGTGCTGACCTCCATCATCCAAATATGTTTAAGCAAATATAGTTTTTTAAAAATTATTTTCATTGCATGTCAATGGGTATCCTCTGCAAAGTGCATTTTCACCATATTCATTAAGCTAATGGAAAATTCACTTGCAAAGTGAACACATATTTTGCCTTTAGAAAATCAATCCCATTATGCCCACCAGCTCACTACAGTTTTCTCCATCCAGCTGAGTTACTATTTTGAACAAACTGTAATTTTTCTTGCGTATCCTGGCTTCAAATGCAGGGTTGTCCATGGCTATGCCTGCCAACTGACATTGAATTGTCAATTATTAATGCCCCAGTAGCCTTTCAAGGCTTTGTCACTGGAAAGAGAAATGGTAGTTGGTGGAGCTTAGCCATTAAGTACCTGTGACAAGATAGGAAGTGAGGAGAAATCTCCCAGTGGGGTTAATGAAAAGCAAAAGTTTTAAGCCTGCTCCACTTAACATAGGGCTAAATACTTGTGGCCAGAGTTGGCTTTAAAGCAGAATTATAGGCAAAGAGGTAAAGTATATGTAATTTGTAGTTTTGTTCAGCCAATCACACTGCTCATTTACAGTTCAAAGAACAGGCAGAGGGCACAGCAGAAATGGAAAAGATGCAAAGCAGAAATGGGAAAGTGCACAGCTATCTTCATAGCCATGCAGTGAGCCAGAGCTGTATACAGTACATCTGTGTGTATTCCGTTGTGAACAAGAACATCAGATAAGTTTTGTTCTTGCATAGGACAGATTGGATAGAATGGGAAAGCATTAAAATGTCTTTAAGATTTTTATGATTGGCTGAATTTTCAAAAGCTTGAAAGATTAGTGTGTATTAAAAAAATTGCTTGAACAATGCTTGACGTGTTTGGGTCACATTAGGATAAGCCTATTGCAGCCTGAAGGCCAATTAAGGAAATGCCAATGGGCCATGTAGGATTAATAAGCCTAGAACATTTAGGGGGTTATTCACAAAGTTGCTGAAGGCAGCCGAGTGAATAACCCAGCAGAAGTGAAGTGAGCTGAACAACATTCGGGTATTCACTCTGGCTCAGTACGGATGATTTCAGCCGTACATCGGATGATCTCAGCCGTAAAATTGGCTGCCTTCAGCTGCACTTCGGTCAGCCGAACATACTCTGCATGTTCAGCTGAGCTAAAGTGCAGAAGGACTTCAACTCAGCCGATCCAACATCTGGATTGGCTGAGCCAAAGCTCTGGCAGCTCACTCGCTGCTGTTCGCCCCTACTCTGTCCATTCCTCCAGTCAGCGCTGGAGGATCGGGGAGGGGGGAATCCCTGTGGGGAGCGGTGACTGACAGTCACCGCTCTCTACAAGGAGATGATCGGGCAGTGAGGGAGCAACAGCATGTGTTCGCTCACTTCCCGATCTATATAGTTGAGGTGTGACAGTTTCATTGTCACACGTTGGCTCTAACTACGAGCATGAGTGTAAATCACTCCACTCATAGTTCTCCTTTAACCATAACCAAAATAGTTTGCAAAATATTTAACCTATTAAAAGATATCGGACAAATGTATGTTTCAGAGTTTTTTAAGACAGTATTAACAGTGAAGGGAAATCTCACTAATAATGACTAAACGACTGCAGTAAAAACCTGATAAAGCCTCTAACCATTGCCCAATATATCAAGATTAAATTAAAAGATTTGGCTTACGTCGGGCTTTACATTTTAATTTTAAATTAATGTTCTGCAAAACACACAAAAAAACATTTTTTTTGCATTATTTAAAACAAGATATTCTGAAAACACACTTTGACAGTACCAGTTAAGTATGTATTGATTTTTTGGGAGTTGGAATACTGACATTTTTTGGGTACATTGATGTTATAAGAGGGCTGCATTATGTGGCCAAAAGCTTATAGACACCTGGCCATACTCCCTATATGAGCTTGTTGGACATTCTATTCCAAAACCAAAAGTATTATTATGGAGTTTCCCCCCTTCCAGTTACTTCAGTCCCCAATCTTTTAGGAAGGCTTTCCACAAGATTTTGGAGAGTATCTGGGAGAATTTGTAACCATGTCCAAGGACCTGCCTTTGTGCACAGTCATGCAGGGGGGAGGGGGGGGGGCTTTTTTAAACTGTTAGACTGTTAACACTCAGTGAGCTAAAATATTGTTTTATGATGCAGCATACCCTTTACTTGAAACAACCTAACCTCCAATAATTTGGAGGGGTGTCCACATATTTTTGTCTATATAGGTAGGTGTGGTGGTTAGATGTCTACACACTTTGGACCATATATTGTAGATGTCTAAGAGTGATCAATATTTCTTTCCTCTTTTTGGCATTTTGTTGTTTTTTTATGCCAGAATAACAGTTTTTTCTTGCCGTATAGAAACATTTTGCAACACAAATTTGTGGGCTTTTTTGCTTCTTAACAGTAATCATTTGGGGATAACTAAACACTTCCACTTATTGCAAGTGATGCTTATGCTGTAACTGTAGTATAATTAAAAATAAAACAGTGTATGGCTTTTACCCTTGCATTTATTTGTACAACCTGTAACATATCCTTTATATTTAACCCCCCTCTCATATTGGATAAATGATAATCCCACATAAAATCCAATTATCACAGCACAATCTGAGTGTCATTGCTCCTAGATGATGTATAAACTGTTTTTTGTGCTCACTGTGGGTTCTCATAAAATCCATATGTACCTAACTGCTCACTGTAGCATACAGTGCAAAAGATAAAACTCTACACCACCTCTTTGTATCCTTTTTATTGAAGAGTGAGGAGTCTGACAGGGCTGAATGTGGAATGGTGATTAAAGGGCATATGTGCAGGGGAATAGTGTGCAGTTCTATGGTGTTGTACAGTATACTCAGCAAAGCACTGGGAAATACTCTAACCCTAAAGAGCTTGGCACCTGTGCTATAGTCAGTGAATTTCATAAAATGTATATGACTGGGGATGGGGCAAACAGACTACGGCAGATGCCCCTGCTGTCATTAAGGTTAAAACCACCCCCAAGAATAGCAAAGACCAGAGAGATGCTACCTGGTCATGTCTGCAAACGAAGACTGTATTGTTTTTTTCTTTTTTGATTAAAGGAACTGAAATTTCATTTACTTATACATATATCCTTTAATGTTAAAAGAAAGCTGAGTGGACGGCTTTCTCACTAGCTTATTACATGTATTAGGACTCCAGCCAACAGATCTTCCTATGAGACATTGAGATTAATTTACTAATAGATAATTTTTGCTTAGCTTAGTCAATGTGGTGAAAATTCTTTTAGCAAAGAATACCCAATCACTTGCAAGGAAAATAAAATATATATATATTTTGTTTGCACATGATTGGATGATTGAAGTTAGCAGAGCTTCACTTCCTTTACTATGATAATGGAAAATTCCACTGAAAATTGATTGCCTATTTGACTTTAGTAAATCAGCCACATTATGTCCCTACCCCTCCTTGTTAAGAAGTCTCACTCTTTCTGCTGTACCATTGGTAGTCATATTTATCCTACTACATTCTCTGTAAAACAAATTTAATAAAAGTTAATAGGAAAAGTGTGACCCTATGGTAAAGCCATAGCAGGTGTGTGGTGCTAGAAATTTAGGTGCCTGGATATCTTTCCTATTGTCCCCCTAAATATAAGTGGAATGACTATTTAGCTGTAATGAGAAATGCAACATAGTAGTTAACCCAAGTGATTTACTTTTTGAACGTACTGCATCTTTGTGTCATCAATAAATAGAGCTATGGATGACTTCTGTTTACTTCTAAATCTCTGGTTCTTTTTATATTATCAGATATACAATCATCACTGTTCTTCTGATTACTCAGGGGAAATATATAGAAATATATGCTGCCAGAAGGTATTCTTATGGTGTATTATAGGAAAAGATGGCCGGGAACTGAAGGGGAGGAACCAGTGTGCTTGCGTGATATATGCTTCCCGAAAACCATTTTGCAGTAATGTTTTTTTTTATCTGAAAGTGCTCTTTTCATATTCTTAACAATAAAGAGCCTGATTGTGTAATTTCTCTTCTCCAGGATTTTCCATTCTCCAGGCCATTATGGAGGCAGCCGTACAGAACAACTGGCAAGTGACAGCCCGATCAGTGGGGAATATAAAAGATGTTCAGGAATATAAACGCATCATAGAGGAAATGGACAGACGTCAAGAGAAAAGATTTGTAATAGACTGTGAGGTTGAGAGAATAAATACAATTTTGGAGCAGGTACACTTTTATTTTGAATTTCTTTTTATTGAGTTTCCTCCTTGTAAACAAAAGTATGTTAGATGGTGTTTTTCACTTTTCTTATACACCTTAGGTCTTGTTTACATACAGATATTTTTATCCTTTTACATAAAAGGGGGGAAAAGGTGGAAGAAGACATCACAAAAATATGTTTTTGTCTGTTTTTATCAATTTTAAATTCATATTTCAGGATTCTTTCAGAACTATTTCACTTTCATATGTTTTGTTCCTTTAATGGGAAAACATATATGAATTGTTAGGATATAACATCTAATAAAAATGCTAAACTCAAACATTAGGCCTGCGTCAAATAATCTAGGAGGCATTAGAGAAGAAAGGCAGTTTCAAAAACGTGAAAAAGATATTGAACGGGTTCAAACAGAAAGGCATAGCATTGCACTGGTTCCCAGTGACAGAATGTAAAATCAAGCTTGAAGGAAATTTATACAATGCAGAGCTTCTGCAAATCATGTGGCCCGATACGATGGCCTTAGGTCATATGACCCAGAACTGAATTGCTGTTACACATACTCTTTACAGCTAACAGGTAAATTTTTGCACACTTTATTGCTACTGCCTTTTCCTCTCTAATGCATGCTGGTTTAGTAGAGCAAAACTAACTTTACAATTACATTACATTACATTACAACTTACTCATAGATCTAGACTTACAATGTTAGACTTCTGAATGGTATAATAATATTAGTATGTACCGCAAAACATTTGTAGGCTGCATATACACCCACAAATAAGATTCACTGTAGTCTATATGAATTTTTCAAATAATCACTATCGGAGCCAAAATATAATTATTCTGTTGCCATTAGCAAAATATGTTCACATTTTCCATGTCAGATTAAGTGCTTTTATATCGCAAGCATTCTTTGAACATCTAGCTTTAAAGTTGTAGGTCCAGCACTGAAGCGCTGCCTTTTTTGAAGATTTTGTTTAATTTGTTTTATATAGATTGAGAATAAATGAAAATTACTGGTCCTATTTAATTAAAAAGTTTACAAAAGTTATAATTATCTACCAATTTTGGTAAATTGCAAACGTTAACCCTGATCTTAACTGTTACCATTTTAAAAAGTTCTGAGTATGTCTCCTTTTTAAAAATTGCACACATTTTATGTGCAGTGGGGATCACCTTATCTTGATGAGAGCTTAACATTCTAGCAGCACATCCCCTAAAGATGCTAAATCAGATAATGCCAAGGCAGAAAATACACCACTTACAAATGCCCAAATTGATTTGTGAGCAAAAACAATGAACAACTAGGCATTCGTTAAAATTACTAATTGTACTTTATAAAATGTTCAGAGTGTCTCTACAGCAGAATTCAATCTGCTAGTCTTTCTCGTGACACTTTTAGGGGTGTAATTTGAAAAGGCTAAAGGTCTGAATAATGTGACAAAGTACCAACCTTTGGAAGTGCAAAAGATTTATTTTTTTAGGATTTCTCTTGACTCTGAACTCAGTAGTCTTGTCAAAAAGCCACCACAGGTGTCCTTATCCTATTCACTGTTATCCCACTCACTCCACAGTAAACTACACTATAATTTCTCCAACCAGGTACCCCATTTATCATCTCACTTTTACCAGCCCCCATTAGCTATTTCTCTCATTAATCTCACTGAAACCAGTCCAGTCCAAAGGACCTTACCACTTGGCCACACTTAAACCATATCTAAAACCAGAACAGAAATTTATATATTGTAGGTTTGTTCTAAGTTGTGGTGGATACATTTGGAAGAGCCCTGGGGCCATGCTAAAAAAAACACACAACATTCTGACTTTTAAAGTCAGAATTCTGTGTTTAAAAATCACAATTCTGAGTTTAAAAGTCAGAATTCTGAAATTAAAAGTCAGAATTCTGAGATTGAAAGTCAGAATTCTGAGTTTGAAAGGCAAAATTCTGAGATTAAAAGTAAGAATTCTGAGACTAAGGAGGGTTATTCACAAAGCTAGCTGAAGGATCAGCCGTAGCTGATCCTTCGGCTAGCTTCGGCCACCTGAGCCCTTCGGTTCAGTAGACTGAAGGGCTGCTGTACGGGCTATTCACTATAGCCCGTGCAGCTCAGTCGGGCCGAGTGGCCAGCCATTGGCCAGCCGAAAGCCTTGCAGCTGACATCTGGGCAGAGCCAACTGTCATCTTATGGCTGGCTCTGGCCAGTTGTACTGACAGTTCAGCATCCCCAGGTAACCAGGGGATGCTGAACTGTCATTACAATTAAAGGAAAACCTTCTGTTGTGAATATTGTGGCTCATCCCAACATTGTTTACAAAGACAGCTGTACATTTTTCCATCTATGATCAGCCCCAGATGATGTCATACAATCAGTCTGACAAAGTATATTTTCTCAGCTTAAAATTGCAGCATATATACCTCCGGATATTACAATGAGAGCTCTCATGACAGTTCAGCGTTCCCTGGTTACCTAGTAACCAGGGGAAGTTGAACTGTCATTATGTTAAAACCAGATATATTGAAATATGTATGTGTGAACCTTAAATGATTACAATCACAGTTACGGGCTAATCACATTACAATTGTGAATAGCCTGTATAGCAGCCCTTCGATTCAACTGAACTGAAGGGCTCAGGCTTCCGAAGTGAGCCAAAGGATCAGCCGAAGCTACGGCTGGATCCTTTGGCTCTTTTGTGAATAACCCTCTAAAAGTCAGAATTCTGAGACTAAAAGTCAAAATTCTGAGTTTGAAAGTTGAGAATTTTAAACACAGAATTCTGACTTTCAAACACAGAATTCTGACTTTCAAACTCAGAATTCTGACTTTTAAACAGAATTCTGACTTCAAAAGTCAGAATTTCGTTTAATTTTTTTTAGCATGGCCTTAGTATCTCTCGCAGAATTGCAGTGTCCTTGTCACTTCCTGTGAACTGAAAAGACAGCAGACAAGACTACTAATCCCATCATTCTCTATGTAAGGGAGATGAAATAAGGTAGATCAACCAAGGTAGACATGTTGAAAAAAGTCCAGCACGTGTGACATCCATTGGCTCCTTCCATAAATACAGTGGAAAAATTAGTGTAGCCACAGAGTGTGCTAATGGCAGGATTACCAGGTATAAGTAATGTAGAAATAGCCTGAAAAAAACAAATTCAGCCAATACATCTAAGGACAATATATTATGTTTTTGGGTTTAGATAGGCTTTAAGAGAAATTCCGATGTACTGACTGTCACCTAATAAGGAAACAACCAAGCATAGTTCCGGCTGTTGTGAAGCCTAACGCATTACTGTATTCCTACAGCAAACCAAGAGTTAAATAACTAAGTAAGCAAAAGATTGAAATATTCTCAGCATTAGAGTGAAACCCTATCTTAGGTGCCTGTCTAATTTTATTTTTAGAAGCATAATAGTAAGGTCTTACCCACCCATTACAAAAAGGCCCTTACATCTTTGTTATGTGCTTTAAGCTTGGTTTCCAGACTAAATCTATTCACAAGTGCAATTCATTCTTGATTTCAATTGATTTTGACCTCCAGGCTTTACAGCCAAGTACATGTCTAATGCAGGGTGTCAGGGATCATCTATATTGATAAAGATAATGGTTTGAAGGAAAGCTTAATTATTGAATATTGTTTAGCTGGAAGAGTAAACAACTCTGATTGCTTCTGTCATTACAAAGGTTTGTAAATCTACGTACTTTTGAGCCTGGGGATTTATTTATCAGGATAATCTACGCAATGTAAAAGAAAGTATTTTTACTTCCTAACCAGAAACAACAGATTGTATTCAAACTATTATTATTTTTAAAGCAATATTCATTATAATGTTTACTGTGTATATTTCAGTATGACCAGGTTCTTAAGTTGGGGGACTGAGTGTGAATACTCTGGCTACTAGTAATTACACTTTCTTACCTCAAGAGAACTATGAGGTAAGTGTTTTTCCCTATAGTTCTCTTTAGGTTCACGGGAGGACATATACTAACCTCCTCCCCTGACCCAAACCTCAGTATATCGCTGGCTATTGCCCGCGATATACTGAGAGCGCCGCAGCCGGTATAGATCCAGACAATACTGTCTGGATCCACCCAGCTGCATGAATGACAGCTGGCTCTGCCTATCTAGAGGCAGAGCCAGCAGTGCCCTCCCCTGTCCGATCCTCCACTCTGTGCTAGAGGATCGGACAGGGGAGGGGGAAATCCCTGCAGGGAGTTGTGACTGACAGTCACCGCTCTCTGCATGGAGATGATCGGAAAGTGAGCGAGCGACAGTATGTGTTCGCTCACTTCCCAATCAATAGATCCGGCGTATGATAGTTTCAATGCCACTTATCGGCACTAACTATGAGAATGAGTGGAAATCACTCTCCTCATAGTTCTCCTTTAATGAAATATTTGTGACAAGCAATGCGTTCCTTTACTATCTGGTACTTGATTATGTAAATTACATGACAGGTCTAACATGTGTAGTATCCATTAATATTAATTTGATGTCTCTTGTGTGGATGATTGAAAAAATACTTTTAGTTAGAGCAGTAAATGCAGTTCAGGCAGGGAAATGGTCTGATTTTTCCTGACACCCAAGGCCCTTCCCTTAATAAAATGACCTGCTCTCTTGACTCTCTTCAAATTGTAGTGCCTCTCCTGAATAATTGTAGTGGCGCACACAAGAATTTTGAAACACCAGGGTAACTATTTCTCAAAATATGACAGTGTTTGTCACAATAGAATAAACTCCATCAGAGAAAGAGTGGAACTAGGTTATACAGGGAATACATTTGTCAGTTGTTGCCGAGGATTTATTTTTATTAGCTCTCTTCCTGTTTAATATGATTAGTAGTTTTATTCAAAGCTATCTCAAGGTAGCCTTTAGATAGGAATTTATTCTCCATTTCTCTGAAACGTAACTCCCCTCTTAGCTGACTATCCTTTTATCCCCTTTAAGTTAGCTCCTAGGTATCGTTTTAAATACACTTGGACGATGAAAACTAAAAATGTAACAACTAATT